GATGTGTCGGGGAGCCGTTTTTTATGCATCGTGAGTAGTTCGTACATAACGACAATCGCTGATTTTACCCCTGATCACAGCCTGACGGTCACCAAGTTCGCCGGCCGGCATACGGGCTTAAAATCGTGTAGTGTGAACTCGGCTTTAGGTATCTATTTTATCTTGGATGAACATTGTGGTTTTGAGTTGAGTTTGTCAAAAGGCTGATTTGATTAAAACATTATTTATAAAAACTGTGAAAAAAAGGTATGTATTAACTGACCACGGGTCCTCTGGGGCCCCGTTTGATGTGGGACAGGTCTGGTGTGGGTCCAATGGGTCCCATCAAGCCTCTGGGACCAGAAGGCCCAGGGGGCCCCAATAGTCCTGGAAGTCCTGAAGGGCCCTCTGGTCCTGGATCTCCTAAAACAATCCAGACTGATATTAGTGAACTAAGGACAACTGATCACAAAAGAAAACATCAGACACAGAATATATGATTTTTGTAGAAAAGATGAAATACGTTTAGCCATGCTAATGGCGTGGCTCTAGAGATGGCAATCTTGGTCAGTCAGTCAGTCACCACTTTGGTCTAGAGTGCTTGAAGTTTTCACTTATTTGGTGAAACCTCTCAACATCCACTGGATACACTGGCACCAAATTTGGTGCAGACATTCTTCATCATCCCAGATTATGTAATGATTGAGGTTGACATTTGTGGTTTGGAGTTAAATCAGTGCTTGAAGTGGGCCGGTACGCACCTACTTTATGAAGCTGTATGGATAAAGTAGCTTATCACTGTAACTTTTCATGAACCGACCAATCATAGCCTGGATGGGGAGGGACATTAGAAAAAGGTTGACAGCCATAGGTGTCACAGAATGTCCCCATCACTGTTTGAAAGCATTTGTTAAAAATGTTCTGAAAAATGGCTTGCAAAAAGAAATATTAAATAATAAATGAAACTGCTTTGAGAAAACTTTATTTGCACAATAAGAGAGCGTGCAATTAAAATACAGAAGAAACATATGTGCACCTGTCCAAAAAAAAGTAACTTAAGCTAAAAAAAAAACAAGCTACTGATTAAGGCATTAAGGTATTGTCTCCTGCCATTTTGTGCTTTCCTTCACATAAATAAATACATTTCCACCATAAATTAGTGCAGAAAATGTCTCCAGAATGCATAGATTTAAGAGTTTAATGCTCAAAATCTTATGTGGGAGGACCCCCAGACACCCCACTCAATCCATCCATCAAATATTTCATCAAAATATCTTTTCGTCTTGTTCTTGCGACCTGTGTATTGTTATGACTGTTGGCAAGTTAGTACAAATCAGAGGCTAACCACCATGTAGAGCATTTTCTTGCACAATAATTTAATGCATGAAAACAACACACAAAAAGCAGCAGCTAATATATACGGCAACATGTGATAGAGATTAACATGAAATGTGTACAGAAATTCTTTCCCCCATCAGGATAAATTCTAATATCTTTGTGATCCCCATCTTCAGGTGAAAATCTTAATTTGTCCAACACTTTTTTTTTTTAATTTATGACCAAATATCTGCAAAATTAATGATATTCCCAACAGTCTCAGCTGTAATTTGTGTTTAGTGCTTCATACCATCCCTATTGGATGGAGGCCAGTTTCCTTATGCAGAGTCTGACACTGTTTTATTATTTTTAGTTTCATGTGTTTTACCTGGAGGACCAGGGAGACCGGGAGGCCCTGGTAAAAATATGGGCGACGTCTGTATTTCTCGCTGGTCATTTGCTCAGGGACGTCAGCACTGTTTGACAGCATGGCCATCTTGAATTAGAATACAGAAAATATTGACTGAATGAACACACAAATGAGAAGTCAACTACAAATACTTACATTAATCATATATCAAATAAAGAACACAGCCAACAAAAATACATATTCTCTCATGGGATGAAAGTCTATTTTTCCCTTATTTGGAAGTGATGTCAAACATCATGCGCAACCGCACAATTTGGTCATTTGGTTGTTATTCATAAAATCATTTTACATACAATAATTCCTGGACTGTCAAACAGGACAGGAAAATTACACACTGAAGGGCCAGCTTCAAGTAAAATTATGTTAAAATGATATACCCTGCCTAAGATGAAAGCTGATATTCCATCTGCACCACGTTACAAGCTGTAACCCAGACAGATGGAGGGCCAGGCAACCCCTCTGCATTATTCAAGACCAGGAGAGTTCCTGCTCTTTATGCTAAGTGGCATCCTTGGGAAAAGTTATCTTTGATCTCTGTGTAACATCATGTGGATCTGGCAATCTCATAGGGAAAGATTTGAAGGACCTCGCTATGCTGCAAGGGCCTACAAATCAGAATTAATACACACAAACTTACAAGCATAGGTATTCACACACACACACTGATCTAGATTGTGATTCACCTGCTGATCAGTGAGCATTATGCAAGACTGTAACCTGTGACCTTGGACACAGGTGTTTGAACCACAGTGTGATCCTAAACTCATACTCTAACTTTCCCATGATATGAATAAATGAGAATATACTTTCTCATATACTCTAATAAGAGACATTGAGCACATACAGTATTTTCATTCTGTTTTCTTCATATATTGACAATAAGAAAAAAAGAGCCGCACAGAGCATAGCAGCAGGAGCAACTAGACCACACAGCTGGAAACAATATATAATGTGTTACAGTTGAGGGTGTTAAGTGCCACTGTTGACAGACTCGTGCTCGGATAGATGCAGATGCCTGTGATTACACAGAGGGAAATGTAACCCCACTGTTGAGTTTCACACCAATTGCCCAACAATTCCCACCTATGGGCAAAGAAATCTACCAGATACAGTGAAGGAAGTTTTTTCAGACATTATTTTTTATTTCAAAATAAGGTGCAACATCAAATCTCAAGGAAGTTGTAAAAATCTGCCTGCTGTTGTTTCTGAAATACTGTCAAGTATGGACTCCAGGACTGGTAGTAAAGAAACGGAGCTGTTCTGCAGATATTTATATTGCGCTGAGTCAAGAAGGTGTGTTTAATGCTCACTGGGGCCTTTATGCGGTCAACCATAAAATACCAGAAAAAGCTGCCGTATCGCAGGATGCAGGATTATGATTTAATATTTAAAAAAGTGTAGTGTTACGGGAAATTGTATAGATTCAACTTTATGTTGGTTAGAAAGAAATGTATGGTTTTTGTTATTATCTTCTGACCCTTACCTTCTGTTTAAGCTGCAGGACAGACATCTTGATCTGGAGGAAATCGTCACACGTGGCTGAGCAACTTCCTGTATTCATCACATTGTCAGACTTCTCGAAGAGATGCACTGCTGGGAATTGGGGGAAAAAATTCTATTACAGAAGTTACCGGAAAATGTTTCTGTTGAAAAACAAAATATCAATAACAAAGTATGCTAAGTATGTGCACAGATTTAGCATAATTTGGGCAAGTATGTCTTAAAAGTGTTTACTTAAAATGTATGTTAAACATTCATAGAAGAAAACAAAATTGTGATTACTGTAGGTCACACAGTACAAGTCTGGTGTCATTTTGTTGGGTTGTTGCAAACTGTGTGAGCTGACTGTCTGTTAAGGGTATTAGTGACTTACACAGTACAGGATAACTCTGTAACACTGTCATTTGTGAGACCTGAGTGTTGTGGGTCACTTATAATTCTCAGCTTAGACAGGAAGGTGGTCTTGTAAATGTGTCAGTCCTCAGGGAAGACTAGTGCAGAGCTAATGTCTGACTACTGGTTCTGCTGCACAACACAATATAATTACATATTTCCATATTACAAACATTTCGACAAAAAGATGGGATACTGGCGTGATTTATTTCTACGATTAACTACTTTTTATCCAGAAACCATGTCAAAATATTCAAGTTTAAGCAATAAACTTGCATAATCCAAAAAAGAGAAAAAGCACAATTTAAGCACAGATAAATGCAATGCATATACTTTACGGATGAGTGAAAGTGTCTGGACACTATTTTCCCCACTATGTTACAAAGCAGCAGGACATAAAGCAGGAGCATGACTCTATGTACCATAGTTTCGCACTCTCTTCTCCTGAAATATTATAGTAGGTAATAGAAGATAAACTCATGGGAGGAAGTACCAAATGTGCAGCCCCTGACCGATTCATTGGCAACTGAATCTGGGTATAAAAAAAATCGTAATTATTGCCTGAACCAATGCATCCAGCAAATCAAAAAAGACCAGGAGTCACAGGGGCCGTGGTATGTTTAGGAGACAGAACTGTTCTGACATGCACAAGGAGTAGGGATGTGTAATGACTACCAGGTGTCTATGTTTGCAGTACCCCCATTGCTTTCTCTCTCTCTCTCTCTCTCTCTCACACGCACACACACACACGCACACACACCAAGCTCCACATCAGAGTTAAATGAGCCCTTAAGAAGAGAGAAAATATCTGAGTAAAAACACTATTCTCACCTCTCTCCCCCTTGGTGCATGTTTTCCCATCTTCTTCCAGGAAATAGCCTTTCTCACACTCACACCTGTAGCTCCCCGCAGAATTGAGGCAGATCTGAGAGCATACGGTCGTGTTTTTGTCTGCACATTCGTCAATGTCTATGTTGCAGTGACAGGCAGACAAAAAGAAGGGACAGTAAAGCAAATTAAAGAAAAACAATGTCAATTGTGATTGTCAATTGTAGAGTGTATAAAAATCACTGCAGCATTAGGTGAAAAGATTCATTACATATTCCACATTTACAAGTGTAATTGACAATGTGATATATATACATATAGCCTGAGAACCAGACAAGTTTCATTAGCTCTGGCGGTTAGGTCTGCCCAACCACCCATTCAGACAGATTTCAACCCGTCCTGATCCGATCTGCTTCTGCTGATAATGCCCCTTGAAAATCAGAAATGAACAGAAAGTTTCCAGACTAAATACGCATTTGCGAATGATGTTGGCGATACCTGGCAAATATACACATACTACAAATTTCATTCATTAATTTAACCTGTATGCACCATATACTTGGATTTACTCATTGCAATGTATCATTGCATTGCACTCATATGGGGGACTCAATATTGCAAAACGAGCAAAAGAATGCAGCGAAAGCAATTTTACACTCTGCTGCAGTTTATTCCATCTTAGTGAAGCAAAACTTTTAAGACTCTTTGCCAAGTTCAGTTTTCCCCAGACCAAGCTATTTTAGAGATTGTGTAAAGATGACTTCCTGTCCTGCAGAATTTCTGTAAAATAGACTATTTTCCTAAAAGGAAATATAATTATAATCTAGGAAATAATGCAGGTGTCTTCTAACTGACAGGAAAGACCAAACTACACTCTGGTACAAGTCACAGTGATGCATTGTAACATTTTAAGCTGGTATAAATCTGAGAATGTACAGTATCTACTTGTTTTTAAAGAAGAATTTTCTTAATGTGTTGTTGTACAAGGTCTTACCCATACAGTAGGGCTTCTCTCGGTTTCTGTGGCGCTCACGGTCGTAGCGGTAGCCTGGGTAACAGGTGCACACCACTCGACCAAAATGGTCAGTACACTGTTGCTCACAGGGGGCGCCAGCACACACATCATAGTCTGCAGAAATAAATGATACATTTCATCAGTGTGAATACATGAAAACCAAACAGGGAATCTCATCTCCTCATCTAATGTTTTTTCAATTCAAAACGGCAGCATGCCTTTCACGGGTTATTAAACATTCAGGGAGGTTGAAACAAGACAAAGTTTAGAGAGGCACATTAAAGGGCTAAAGACCTTATGGGACAGAACTCCAAAAAAATATCCAGATAGCCAATAAGTTTCCCCTACCTTCAGGAATGCACTGGCCCAACACAAACTTGAAGCCCTTGCAACATTTCTTTCTGTAAAATATCAAATGGACATGCATATAAGAAGACAAATCCAAAATACTTCAACAATCACATGATAGGTCTCATATTTCCATATAATGTGCATAATGTTTGACATTAATAAGGATCTGCAGAACTTGTTGTGATCCAGTAATTCTGTCTATTTTTATGTTGATGTGGGAAACATCTTCATGAAGATTAATGTGGCCAGACTACACACACACACACACACACACACACAGCTGTCTGCAGGTCTCATTGCTGTGTCTGGCCTGCTGCTGCTTGTTTATTCATGTTTGATGACACTCCTGTGAATTACAGTTAAAAAAACCCCTTTGGATTGACTATGCAGTGTTTCCTATTTCTCTTTTCCCCTTCGAATACCTCAATGTTGACTAAATATTGAACTTCAATCTCACATCACTTTCTTTCCTGCTCACTTGTTTCCTCCTCCCTTTCCAATTCTCAAATTGTCCATTCTAATCCGCAGATCTGAACTCAGATTTTATGTAATTTTGTAGAGGCTGTGATTAATAGAATCACTCTTTATCCAAATATCTTACATGAGAAAACAACTTGATTATACAATGTGAAGAAACCAACTAATGAGGTTACCTTTAACATGTTCTTTGTTGCATCAATTCTGTCCACATCTGTGTAAGTTTTATTACACCATCTCCATGATAGGCTAACATATTGTTGCAATATTTTATCAGCACATCATCATGAGGTAATAATCATCCCTCCCTCACACTCAGCTCTATAGAAAAGTGCTACCAGGTGTTATTTTCAAACAGGTGATAAAAAAAATAATTACACTATGAAGTCATGGCAATATAGTGCAGTCAAACTCACTTTAAAAAGAGGGACTGAAAAAAGATTACTCTCTAATGCTTTACAGCTTTTATTCAGGAGCAGTTATGATGATACGGACATTCCTTTGGGCCTGTCTGGTAATTTCATATAATAAAAGCTCTCCCTCCTCTGCTCACCTGCATTCAAACACCATCCATCCATCGTCATTGTCAACCGCTTATCCTGCGTACAGGGTCGCGGGGGGCCTAGAGCCCATCCCAGCCGACACTGGGCAAAAGACAGGGTACACCCTGGACAGGTCGCCAGCAGGGCCACACACAGACAAACAACCACTCACACTCACACCTAAGGACAATTTGGGAGACACCACTTAACCTAGCCTGCATGTCTTTGGATGGTGGGAGGAAGCCAGAGCACACGGAGAGAACCCACACAGACACAGGGAGAACACGCAATCTCCACACAGAAAGGCCAGGGCAACCAGGGTTTGAACACACAACCTTCTTGCTGTGAGGCGACAGTGCTAACCACCGCACCAACGCGCGGCCCTGCATTCAAACACAATTGATGTAATTATTTATTTTATCAAACACAATTCATCTGCGGTCAACCAGGTTAGCCTTAAGAAAACAAGACTTAAACTAACAGCTCTGTGAGGCTGAGTGCCAACTTCAGCATGCTAACATGCTCACAGTGACAACGTTAACATGATGACCATATTCACCATCTTGGTTTAGTGTGTTAGCATGCTACCATTTGCTAAACTAAACTAAATAAAAGACTGGCTGATGCGAATGTAATTAGCTTTGTAGCCCTGATGATGCCGTGATTTGAAGTTGTGGCATCACCAAAGCTATTAATAAATCCTGAGGGGAACCTGAATGTGGGAAACAATTTTAATGCCAATCCAGACCAACATTGTCTGAACCCCTACACTTAACTCTTCACATTACACCTTCGGAGAAGTAAAGAGATGCACATGAAACATGAGGAAATCATTTGGGGGAGTTTTGTGGAAGAGAAAAGCAGAATATGTAATTTGAAGACAGTTAAAGTTCAGTTAGATTTCAGATTGATTCTTGAGATCTCACCCTTAAATGGCCCATTAAAGACTTGGAACAGCATACTAACACTAATAAGGGTATACTGTATCACTGTAATACATTTGAAACAAAAGATGGCTTAATTTCAACTTCTCATCTTATTATTAACTTACTAATTGCTACTTCCAATTTTATTTATGAATCAAATGATCGCTCAATAAAAATGTAACACTTTTTGCAATAACATCATTGCAGAAATATAATCCTGGTAGAACCAACTGAGTCTCCTCCACCTCATAGGCACAGGATATACACAGCAACCAAGTGCTTATTCAGTCACACAACTGAATATTTACTACCTAGAGAGGGGTCATAAGAACCTCCCTCACTGCACTTGAGGCTCCCACTGAAGAATATTAACCTGAATCTCATTTCAAGACTTGTGCTCACACACTGCAGGTGTGGTTATTGCAGAGGAGGAACAATGACCAATCAAGAGGCCCTCCATTAGGTGAGGGCAGGTCGTGTGCGTGTTTTCTGTGTTAGTGTTAGTGAGATTCATTGAGTGTGTTTGCAAGTGTTAATTGCAGGCTTACACTGTATGATTCTACACGTGAGGGGAGCTATGGGGAATCATTAAAGCACTTTGAAACACGTGTTTAGAAAAGTGCTTTTGAAAGTCAGATATTGACTCTGATGGAAAAAATTGATGTCCAATGTTGATTTGCACAGTTAAGTGACATACTGACTGAGGCACAGATTCTTGCATGCACTATAAACAGCCTGGGCACTTTAATTTCAAAGCTACATAAACTCTAATTAAGTAGTGGTTGTTGGTGTACATTTGTTTACAGGCAACTTAAGTATCAGAGGGATAATAATCAGTATAACCATCTCTAAACTATCATCAACAGGAAAGTGAAGGAAAAGCAGAGACGACACTTCTTAACATATTTCATCACTACCATTTCTTCTTCTATCGCCAAAAAAAACAGCTTTCTTAATCTGTTTATGCTAAAATGTTTCCACTTAAATCTTCCTCGCTAGAGTCGCTTTTTCAGCTAGCATTGTCTTCACTGTCAATAATCTCAACTGGCGTCAGAGACATTGCCAACAGCCAATCACCATTCTTGCGGTTCCTGGTGGTATCTCTGTAGTCGCAGAGATACCAAGCTCCAGCTGTAGCCTACTTTGTATGTTTAGTGTTAATTAGCAAATGTTAGCATGCTAACAAGCTAAAAAATATGGTTAACATGGTATAAATTACAAGTGTTAAACATCAACATGTTAGCCTTTGCAAGTATGCTGGCATGCACACCTTAACATTTAGCTCAAAACTCCACTGAGCTGTACAGCCTCACAGAGCTGCTAGCATGGCTGTAGCCTCTTAGTCTTGTTAATATGCTCTTTAGCATGTTTGTTATATATGTTTTATTTGGTGGTTTACTAGAGCTAGTTACTGGTACACCCTAATTGTTTAAACATGTAGGTTATCTATTAAGCACGCAATGTTTTTATTTTAGACAAAGGCAACTGTAAAATGTGATGAGTGATTTGTTTGACATTTCAGCATATGTTGTGGCGTTTTGGGTGGAAACAAATTGGGACACCCTGAGAGAGCTGATATGAGGATGGTTTCCTGTGAGACCGAATATTTTGTGTCTCAATAACATCCCCATTAGGACAGAAGGCACTTATAGTAAATAACCAGCTTAGCAAAATAACCAGGGTTAGTTTAACAATCATGACAAAACAAACATCTGTGTCCGTCTCCAGAAGATCAGGAAAGAGGCGACAGCATCCCATGGAAACTGGATCCATATCTGTGCTGAAGTTCATTTTTACTCAACTGTATCTTTATTAAATTATCATTCAGGGAAATGCTTATTAGCCCTATAATATTCGAACTTATTGTACTTTCTCTCATATCATTAAATAAACAGTGATAAAAGTGATATTGGGTTACTTTGCAGATTAAAGCCCTTTTCACAATTACAGTATTATCTGGCATTTTCCATTTATACAAATTGATTTAATTTAAAATTGTTCATTTCTTATGTTGTCCTTTTGATAACGTTTTATATTTTGACACTTGGACATGAAAACAGGCAGACCGGGAGAGGTAGACACCCAGAATCAAGATGGTAATGATATGTCCTGTCTACAAGTTAAAACAACATGCCTAGTAAAGACTCTGGGTGATGGATCTAAGCTCAAGGTCAGTGCACTAAGGCAATAAAATAACCTCAAACCAAGTATGTGATTCATAGTCTGGGGGTCTGTCAGGTCTTTGACATGGAGGGTCTCAAGAGATAAACTGCTGATACATGAAAATAACATTCTCATCACATAACAGATGGGCAGCTATGTATTACTAACCATGTATAGTATACTGAAATGTTAATAGTCAGTATTAAACGTATTGTTTAGCTGACATTTTAGTTTTTACTGCTAGGTTTAAAGCGTTTTTGTCCAGTTAGACGAACGGTGCTATTGCCTACTTTAGAGAGGCTTTTGTCAAATGACATGTTGTGGCAATGTTTAAGGCTGCTCTAAACACACCTTTCCAGAAGTGTAAGTCACTTGGGGTAAAATAGTGATGTTTTCCCATGGTGAAGGCCAAGTTAACTCTTTAGGAAGTAACTATTTTTATAAATGCAGTGTACGTAAAGTGTCAGTGAACTACAGGATCTGCTAGAGCAGGGGATTGAAAAGGATATCATTCTTTCCAAACAGCTTTGTCTATATTTAAACAACTGTCTGAGTCAATATCTGGCATTGATTCCTAAAAAGCTGTTTAACAGTCCACCTCAGGTCTTCTCACACTATTTGAACAGCAGAAACAGCTCAGATCTAAATCACTCTCAATAGTGACACACTAGGGGACAGTCAAAGAGCATTATATGAATGTGTCTTTGTTGTTTTAGCATTCTATAAAATAACTACTATTAAAAAATGTAAGCATGGGTAATTAGAGATGAAGCTCTTCATATTATTCAGCACACACAAAAAAGACCATGCTGAGTAATGACGCACAGGGCCCTTAGCTCCTTTCATAACAACAGCTATGAATACAATCCTGTGCAAGCTTGTTAGCTGCTCATGTACTTCATGCAAATTAGCAAACAAATTCAAAACACATGTGGATTTCAT